GCGTAGATTTTCTGTAATGTTGTCGATTCATTTTTTCTCGGCTGTTCTCTTGGTCTTGCAGCTGATCTTCTGAGATGAAGAGCTTGCCATGGTATCTGATCTTGCTGCATTCTAAAGAGATGGCCAAACCACTTGATCTGCGGTTTCTCGGTGGTCGCAGTGTTAACACTGATAAAGAAGTTTGTTAGCTGTGCATCCCCTACTATCCTGAAGATGCCATTAAGAGAGTTGACTTGGCACATCTCGTCCAGTTGGCCTAGTGGCCTAAGCGTTGCGAACGCTTTGTAATGTCGAGATCCCGAGTTCGATCCCAGCTGCTGGGCTTAGCAGTGCTATAGTGAAGTCGACCGTCCAGAAAGCAACGAAAAACTACTAAATCTAAATTTGCCTAGAAAAATCACAACAGCCAAAAAAGGCTGGGGTTGATTCTACAAAGTCCTGTAAAGGATACACAACTAACTTTTTTTTTTTAAAATACCCTACAGGAAGTTTCAGAAACAATCCCAGCATATTTTGGCTGCTCATGATTTTACCAGGCAATTATATGTTCAGTAGTTTGCTATTGTAACTACAGTGTTGACCCTCGATTTCTCTGCATTGACTTTATGAATAGAAAGCTAAGTGTTCATAGGCTAATATGTGAACTAAAAGTAAAGGGCTTTTTTCCACGCCTTTGGGCGTATTAGGCATATAGGACTAGAACTATATTTTTTTAGACCAATGGGTACTCGGTGGGTGATGTTTTTAACACCATGCCGATTCTCTTTACTTCCCAGGACTATTCCTGGTAAGCAAACGTACATTCTGGAATTTGCAGCAGTAAATGGATAGAAAAAGTAACCAGAAAAAGTTCGGCTTCTTTAGGACCCGAACCCACGACCTTGCGACCCGCAGGCGAGCGTCTAGCCGCTACAATTCGCCGGAAAGAGGAACTACTGAACGTAAAACTCTTCCGCAGCATTACACAAATGCAGGTCTAGGCAACTGGTGGCTCGCAGACCAGATCTGGCTCACGGAGGCCTAACAAGTGACCCACATACCCCTGGCATTTGTATTGTATTAATGACTTTTCCTTTGTAGGGGCTAGGACAACTGGCTCACGAAAATCTTTCTTTGTTCTGAAACATTTTGGCTCCTGAGTGAACTTAAGTTGAATGGTCTTGCACTAATGTAGCGTGACACAGTTCCCCAACAAAATATCTGGTCTACATGCTCCTATCAAATCTCAAACTTTTCAGTTTGTGTTCGTGTTCCTGTTGGGGCTGAGTGGTCTCGAGTCATGGCGTCCGCCTCGAGTGTGGAGGTCCCGAGTTCAGGCCCCGATGAGGGCTAAGATTTTTTTTTTTTTTTTTACGTGGGCTTCTAGTAATTTCTCCTGGTCTCTGGATAGTAAGATCGGACGCCCGTGTGTATTTTTGCACACTTAAAACAATCCCTTGGCAGATGGGAATCGAAAAGAGTAGCCTAACTGCGTTGGCCAGGCAAAATATTGCGTTAAAAATCTACCTGAAGTATTTCAGGATCCTCGCCGGTGCTACGAAGTTCGTGCACTGCGCTGAGATTCTTCGGACTCAGACTTGAGTTAGAAGAAGAACGGAGCACTTATGGAATACTACCCGTGTGCCATGACGTTGATCCGTTGTTTAAACGTAAACCTAAAGCTGCTCCAGCATTAGGAACTTACAGTAAGTATGGTGCCATTACAGATATACGCTACACCTGTAACGATGTGTTTTGTTGTGGGTGTATGACACCAGCCCAAATGTTCGCCTAATCAGAATTTGAATTGGATTGAAATTGTTATTACACCCATAAATATTGAACTGTTCATCGTCGACCGGGTCGCCAATTGGCTCGCCGGTAGACGACTTCGTCGCCGGTCGGACAGTGTTTGGGTCGGTCTCCTGTGATCGCATAGCTATCACAGGAGTCCTTTTCAGGGCTACCTTGTGGTGAGCAATGCTAAAATATTTCATATGGGCGCATATAACGTAGTCACAGTTATAACATTAAGCTCCCCCTTCAGGGATACTGGTTGAATGTGACGATTGTTTGTTCGCAAACCCACAACCACCATTAAACTGTTGTAGTCTCCAAATTGCATTAATGCCATAAACATGCTCCTTAATTCAGAAATCTCTTAATCCATTGAAGGCACCAATGCGAAGTGTCACAATTTCTAACCGCTTATATCTGTTTTGTCATTTGAGGCTACAAGAACAATGTTGTTTGCACCAGTTTGGCATCAAGAATCTATTGCAAAGCACCTACAAATTAGTTAAAGTAAAAATCTTGAGATTATGAATTTTTCTGTGGCAACTTACGGTTGTTAGTCCTGGACTCTCACTCAATCACTGAAGAAAAAGACTGGAGCTTTTGAATTAAAACGTTACAGTAATAAAAATCACAATATCATGGATCAGGAAGAGAAAAAACATTGACGTCTACACGAGTTAAACATCAAGGAGAACTGGCTCATAAACAGCGTCCTGCCCCAAAAGTTTTAAGTATTTTGGCCACATCAAACGTTACGGTGGCTTGGAAAAGACGATTATGGAGGGTGCCGTCTGTGAAAAGCGAGGCAGGGGTCGATCTCCGCGAAGATGGATACAGGTCATTGAAGATGCACTAGCATCCAAAGCACACGAGGCTAGAGAGCTGGCTAAGGAACACCGCACTGCATGGACGATAAGAAGAAGAAGAAGAAGAAGACAAAGAAGTCATCTTTTAAAGGAAGCGACAATATGAAGACGACATATCACAAAGTTCCGATGAAGTAGTTGTCATGTTATGACAGTACAGAAAGACAACATATCACAAAGTTTCCAATGAAGTACTTGTTATATTATGGCAGTACAGAAAGACAACCTATCACAAAGTTCCCAATGAAGTAGTTGTCATGTTATGACAGTACAGAAAGACAACATATCACAAAGTTTCCAATGAAGTACTTGTTATGTTATGACAGTACAGAAAGACAACCTATCACAAAGTTCCCAATGAAGTACTTGTTATGTTATGACAGTACAGAAAGACAACCTATCACAAAGTTCCCAATGAAGTAGTTGTCATGTTATGACAGTACAGAAAGACAACCTATCACAAAGTTCCCAATGAAGTACTTGTTATGTTATGACAGTACAGAAAGACAACCTATCACAAAGTTCCCAATGAAGTAGTTGTCATGTTATGACAGTACAGAAAGACAACCTATCACAAAGTTTCCAATGAAGTACTTGTTATGTTATGACAGTACAGAAAGACAACCTATCACAAAGTTTCCAATGAAGTACTTGTTATGTTATGGCAGTACAGAAAGACAACATATCACAAAGTTTCCAATGAAGTACTTGTTATATTATGGCAGTACAGAAACACAACATATCACAAAGTTTCAAATGAAGTACTTGTTATATTATGGCAGTACAGAAAGACAACATATCACAAAGTTCCGAATGAAGTAGTTGTCATGTTATGACAGTACAGAAAGACAAACTATCTCAAAGTTCAGTAAGACGTACTGACCAGATCATGATAAAGATTCACAACTTAACCGTTAAAAAAAAAAAACGACAATTACTGCCTCTATGTTATGTGTCACTTGTGTGGTGTCGGCGTGAGGATGGTGGGGGGGGGGGGGGGGGGGGAGAGGGGGGGGGGGGGTGGGGGGGGGGGGGGGGTGGGGGGGGGGGGGGGGGGGGGAAGGGGGGGTTGAAGTCTAAAGTTGAGTCTAAAGATTTATGGCCGCTGTGGACACGGACTGTTCATATTATGTTTTTTTATAGGCTCCTCATGTCCACCGATGTGAGTCTGGTAATTTTTGACATTTCTCCTTATCTTTTCTGCACATATAAACTCCATATGTTTGGTGAGAGAATGCAACCCTACCGCACTCCGTTTTGCATGTAAACCAGTGTGATTTTTCTCCAGCTGATCTGATGGCTGCTTGTTGTTCATGATGTAAACTGCAATAAATGTACCAAATATGTTTAAACATTTCACTGGCATCTTTTTTATTGTTTCAAACCCTTTTTTTTTTTTTTTTTTTACAGGTTCTTCACAGTCTATCGGTAGTTTCATATCTGTCCACGAAACTGTAATATTCAGTAATATATCCCCATCTACAGGATCTCATTTTAATATTATAATGGTTAATTTTTTTTGTTTCTTAGTGGCAGCTGCTGTGATGTAGTCAATAGACCCTTGCCTACGGAACTGAAGGTCGTGGGTTCAAGTCGGATGTTTTCAACAGAGACTTTGGATTTGGCTGCCAGAAGCCTAAAACAAATAGCAGGATAAGTCACTGGAAGTAAAGACGACCGGCATGATTTCGACCGCATCAGCCACCGAGTGCCAATTGGTCTATAAAATATATGTCTGGCTCGATATGCCTAATATGTGAAAAATGTTCCTTTTCCTTTACTTAAGTGCATATATCATGATACTTCACAATGTAAACAGTCTTTACTGCGTCAGAAACTACTACCTCATTAATTTTTCTGCTATGTCTTCAAATGCCGGAGATACAAAGGAAATGTCTGCTGATTGTAACTTTGACTTTAAAACTTCATTTTTGTTCCAGGACATACTGATAGGAAAGGCAATGAGAGAGCAGACACTATATCTGGCAGTGCGATTATTAGAAATGGGCCTCTATGGAAAGGAGAGAGATCACCAATGCCAAATTAGAAACTAAACGCTGTGAGGCTTTCAATTTCGTGGAAGATGATTTTTCTCTGAATAGACTAGATAACCTGGGTGTACTCATTGGAGCGACGAGAAGGAAAACCATGCGGTAGCCGCTCGTCGTTGCATCAACCAGAACAGAATGGGAGTTGCTAGCCTAAAAACATTTGGAGACATACTCAGAAGGAGATAGGAGCTCTTATGGTCATGTCTGATGTGCGATGAATGTGATTTAAAAATTAACATTGAACAATGACTTCACAACTGTGACGACACTATCCGTATTTGTGTAAACAACAGCATAAACAGTTATAATGAACCTGTCTTCAAATAGTGCACCGAATGGAACTGCCACCTGTGCTACAGTAACGAATTCGGGCACAATTATTGTATACGTTACGGTAGCAATCGGTTGTGTGTCAATCTGTGAATCCCTGGTTGTTATTTTTGTGACTTGGTTTACAAAAAGCTCGCAGGGAAACACAAACATTTACATTTTATCACTGGCTGTGAACGATATACTATTAGTTGCAGCTTACCTCTGCAATCAACTGTCAGTTGTGTCCCCTGGCTTCTTCAACTTAATGAAATCACAAATCCTGACAAGTTTACACTTTGGTTTAACCTCTGGAACAGCATTCGCATCTGTGGAACATATGGCAGTGATAGCAGTGGATCGATATATTCAAATCGCCCATCCGTTTTACTACATGAAAGCAATGACAAAGACACGGACTTATATTATTGCACTCAGCTTATGGATACCGTGTCTAATCTGCATTATTATCACTCCGACAGTTTACTATGGTGATCAGTATCGCACACAATGTAGTCTATCAGTTCAAGCAACGGTTTATTGGTATGTGGGAGTAACTGCCTACTTCATTATTGTTGTCATGGTGTTTCTATGTTACTTCAAAATCGCTCATGTGGCTTTTAAACATAAGCAATCTGCTATTTCTCGGAAACTTCGCGGTAGTGTTTCACAAGCTGATATTGAAACCAAGGAAAACGTTACTGCGGCTGTTAGAAGTGTCAAATTTTTCGCTCTTATGTTCGGTGTTTTCTTTATTTGTACAAGCCCACCTTACTTCGGCGGTATTATAAGTTTAAGATTCGTCATCCCAGAGTTCATCTCATTATGGGTATTCTCCTTGGTGCCTCTTAGTTCCATCGTCAATTTTGTCATCTACGCGTTCATGAACAAAGAATTCACTGCATCAATGAAGAATATCATATTAACAATGAAAAGACGTTGTTGTGAAGCAACGGGAGAGATGTAACAAATGAACATTCGGGTGTACGATCGCACAAACAGACTTGCAAGTCTAGTTTCAGATGCCGGTTGGTAGCAATGTTTGTTAAAAAAATATGACGCTAATTGAAACATAGGAAGAAGTACAACATACAACATAAATGTGGCTGGAAAGTACACTACTGTTAATATGAAGGACGGAAAAAAATACATCTGTAAGTTTAAACAAAAGCCTTTATCAACGGTGTATTAAACACCTCACAAACTGTGATTGCAAAACACAACAGACAAGACCACAGAACGTATCTGTACTTACTACTTCTTGTCATCAGTTCGATTTCTAATTATAAATGTTCAAGCTGATTCATAGGCACATATGCATAATGAAGCTGACTAATTCATAGCCAACTACACATAATGTAAATGACTAACTCATAGCCAACTATACATAATGTAAATGACTGATTCATAGCCAACTATACATAATGAAACTAACTGATTCATAGAGAACTAAACATAATAAAGCTAAATGATTCCTAGCCAACTATACATAATAAAGTTAATGATTAGCTAACTGATTCATAGCAGGCTATATGTGTTGAAGATAACCGATTCATAGCCAATTACAAATTTGATAGACAACTGATTCACAGCCATCTATAAATATTGAAAGTTAAATTATTCATAGCCAAATTTGAATGGTAAAAGATTACTGACACATGGCGAACTATAAGTGATGACGATAATCGATTCATAGTCACCTATAAATGTTGAAAATAACTGACTCATAGCCAGCTACGTATTTGAAAGATAACTGATTCATTCCCAACTGTTAATATTGAAAGATAACTGATTCATTCCTAACCTCAATATTGAAAGATAACTGATTCATTCCTAACTGTTAATATTGAAAGATAACTGATTCATTCCTAACTGTTAATATTGAAAGATAACTGATTCATTCCTAACTGTTAATATTGAAAGATAACTGATTCATTCCTAACTGTTAAAATTGAAAGATAACTGATTCATTTCTAACTGTTAATATTGAAAGATAACTGATTCATAGCTTACTTCAAGTGTTGAGGATAACTGATTCATAGCTTACTTCAAGTGTTGAAGATAACTGATTCACAGCTAGCTATAAATTAAATCCCTACAATGTGTGAACACAAACATCACATATTTTATTTTATTGCACTTCTCAACTATTAGGACAATATTAATTATTCTATGTGTATATTCAAGTGTGATATTTACAACAGGATCTGAGTACCTATGGACATGTCCGGAGTGCAATGATAATAACCCAACTAACTAACTAACTAACTAACTAGCTAACTAACTAACTAACTAACTAACTAACTAACTAACTAACTAACTAACTAACTAACTAACTAACTAACTAACTAACTAACTAACTAACTAACTAACTAACTAACTAACTAACTAACTAACTAACTAACTAACTAACTAACTAAGTAACTAATTTAAACCAGTTGCGTGCAATACGCACAGAGTTAGAAAAGTAACAACTTTACATATTGAAATCAACTTTAATGGTTATAATAGTGCTTTATATAAAATTTGCAACGTTACTGTGCAGATGACGGTGTCTGTGGCTAAGGCGTTTCGAAGGCGATTATCATTGTCAGGGTGCCGGGTTCGAACCCAGCTGTGGACGGTTTGTGTTTGGTTTCGCCAGAGGTACCAAAAGGTGACCGTTCAGTGGTAGTGGCGAACTACTGAACGTAAAATGTGCCTACAAAAAAACACAACAGTCAAAACATGCTAGGTTGGTTCTGAAACGTCCTGAAGGACACACAACTTCCTTAAAACTAACTGTGTACGTGCATTAGATATTGTTATTTTTTTGTAATATGTTACACTGACTTTATGTATATACATATATATATATATATATATATGTGTGTGTGTGTGTGTGAGTGTGTGTGTGTGTGTGTGTGTGTTGTAGATGTGCATACAGGATAAAAAGGCATACGAATGATTAAAATACGTTTACAGGCGTGTCTTAGAAGCGCAATTAAATCACCCTCTGAATGGCGTTATACGTTTTGAATTCTTATTCAGTGCTCTTCTTTTTCTTCTTATGTCTAGTTAAATACAGGTGTGTACACCAGGCATGGCTCAGGCGTTGCGAACGCGCTCCGTAATGTCGAGGTGCCTGGTTCTATCCCTGCTGCAGACGATTTATCTTGCGCTGGTTTCGACAGTGGTACCGAGAACTGACCGTTCAGTGGCAATGGCAAACTATTAAACGTAAAATTTGCCTAGAAAAACCACAACACCCAATAAATGCTGGGGTTGGTTCTGCAAAGTCCTGTAAAGAATACGCAACTAACTTACTTACTTCCTAACACCATGCATAATTTGTCTACTGTGTAACCAAGTGCCACTGGGGGTGGGGCAGACACCCCACGGGGCGTGGTCACATTGTCCAGGCAATCAATACTATATATATTCATTTAACAAACCAGATTGCTAGCCTGTTTTTTGTAAGCTTATCACATTGCTGCCGACAGTATCTTTCTGTCCACACGATCGCTGAATCTGGTGATCATCACGCTGTGAGTGAAGTGTATAATGTTACTTTGTTTACGAATCGGAATGTTTGATATCTGAGGTAAGTTCAAAAATATCTGCTGTTTGGCCTTTGAATTCTATTAGTTTCTTCTTCTTCTTCTTCTTCTTCTTCTTCTTCTTCTTCTTCTTCTTCTTCTTCTTCTTCTTCTTCTTCTTCTTCTTCTTCTTCTTCTTCTTCTTCTCTTCTTCTTCTTTCTTCTTCTTCTTCTTCTTCTTCTTCTTCTTCTTCTTCTTCTTCTTCTTCTTCTTTCTTCTTCTTCTTCTTCTTCTTCTTCTTCTTCTTCTTCTTCTTCTTCTTCTCTTCTTCTTCTTCTTCTTCTTCTTCTTCTTTCTTCTTCTTCTTCTTCTTCTTCTTTCTTCTTCTTCTTCTTCTTCTTCTTCTTCTTCTTCTTCTTCTTCTTCTTCTTCTTCTTCTTCTTCTTCTTCTTCTTCTCTTCTTCTTCTTCTTCTTCTTCTTCTTCTTTCTTCTTCTTCTTCTTCTTCTTCTTCTTCTTCTTCTTCTTCTTTCTTCTTCTTCTTCTTCTTCTTCTTCTTCTTCTTCTTCTTCTTCTCTTCTTCTTCTTCTTCTTCTTCTTCTTCTTCTTCTTCTTCTTCTTCTTCTTCTTCTTCTTCTTCTTCTTCTTCTTCTTCTTCTTCTTCTTCTTCTTCTTCTTCTTCTTCTTCTTCTTCTTCTTCTTCTTCTTCTTTCTTCTTCTTCTTCTTCTTCTTCTTCTTCTTCTTCTTCTTCTTCTTCTTCTTCTTCTTCTTCTTCTTCTTCTTCTTCTTCTTCTTCTTCTTCTTTCTTCTTCTTCTTCTTCTTCTTCTTCTTCTTCTTCTTCTTCTTCTTCTTCTTCTTCTTCTTTCTTCTTCTTCTTCTTCTTCTTCTTCTTCTTCTTCTTCTTCTTCTTCTTCTTCTTCTTCTTCTTCTTCTTCTTCTTCTTCTTCTTCTCTTCTTCTTCTTCTTCTTCTTCTTCTTCTTCTTCTTCTTCTTCTTCTTCTTCTTCTTCTTCTTCTTCTCTTCTTCTTCTCTCTTCTTCTTCTTCTTCTCTTCTTCTTCTTCTCTTCTTCTTTCTTCTTCTTCTTCTTCTTCTTCTTCTTCTTCTTCTTCTTCTTCTTCTTCTTCTTCTTCTTCTTCTTCTTCTTTTCTTCTTCTCTCTTCTTCTTCTTCTTCTTCTTCTTCTTCTTCTTCTTCTTCTTCTTCTTCTTCTTCTTCTTCTTCTTCTTCTTCTTCTTCTTCTTCTTCTTCTTCTTCTTCTTCTTCTTCTTCTTCTTCTTCTTCTTCTTCTTCTTCTTCTTCTTCTTCTTCTTCTTCTTCTTCTTCTTCTTCTTCTTCTTCTTCTTCTTCTTCTTCTTTCTTCTTCTTCTTCTTCTTCTTCTTCTTCTTCTTCTTCTTCTTCTTCTTCTTCTCTCTTCTTCTTCTTCTTCTTCTCGTCTTCTTCTTCTTCTTCTTCTTCTTCTTTCTTCTTCTTCTTCTTCTTCTTCTTCTTCTTCTTCTTCTTCTTCTTCTTCTTCTTCTTCTTCTTCTTCTTCTTCTTCTTCTTCTTCTTCTTCTTCTTCTTCTTCTTCTTCTTCTTCTTCTTCTTCTTCTTCTTCTTCTTCTTCTTCTTCTTCTTCTTCTTCTTCTTCTTCTTCTTCTTCTTCTTCTTCTTCTTCTTCTTCTTCTTCTTCTTCTTCTTCTTCTTCTTCTTCTTCTTCTTCTTCTTCTTCTTCTTCTTTCTTCTTCTTCTTCTTCTTCTTCTTCTTCTTCTTCTTCTTCTTCTTCTTCTTCTTTCTTCTTTCTTCTTCTTCTTCTTCTTCTTCTCTTCTTCTTCTTCTTCTTCTTCTTCTTCTTCTTCTTCTTCTTCTTCTTCTTCTTTCTTCTTCTTCTTCTTCTTCTTCTCTTCTTCTTCTTCTTCTTCTTCTTCTTCTTCTTCTTTCTTCTTCTTCTTTTCTTCTCTTCTTCTTCTTCTTCTTCTTCTTCTTCTTCTTCTTCTTCTTCTTCTTCTTCTTCTTCTTCTTCTTCTTCTTCTTCTTCTTCTTCTTCTTCTTCTTCTTCTTCTTCTTCTTCTTCTTCTTCTTCTTCTTCTTCTTCTTCTTTCTTCTTCTTCTTCTTCTTCTTCTCTTCTTCTTCTTCTTCTTCTTCTTCTTCTTCTTCTTCTTCTTCTTCTCTTCTTCTTCTTCTTCTTCTTCTTCTTCTTCTTCTTCTTCTTCTTCTTCTTCTTCTTCTTCTTCTTCTTCTTCTTCTTCTTCTTCTTCTTCTTCTTCTCTTCTTCTTCTTCTTCTTCTTCTTCTTCTTCTTCTTCTTCTTCTTCTTCTTCTTCTTCTTCTTCTTCTTCTTCTTCTTCTTCTTCTTCTTCTTCTTCTTCTTCTTCTTCTTCTTCTTCTTCTTCTTCTTCTCTTCTTCTTCTTCTTCTTCTTCTTCTTCTTCTTCTTCTTCTTTCTTCTTCTTCTTCTTCTTCTTCTTCT